TCTTAGACAACAGTTGCTACATGAAAAATCAAAAAAATAAAAATAAATAAATAAATAAAATTTGGCAGAAACAATTTAAGTCAAGATTACGATAGAATTCCACAAAAATGTAATCCAATTAGGTAAACTTTTAGTTTTATGAAGAAATATGCAATCAACATAAAATCAATATAACATAATTCTTTCATAATAATGGGACTGAATTTACGATCTCAATTTCTCTTCCTTACCTCTCGCTGGACCGAACAAGTATTAGATGTCCATGGAGTCACAGTGCACAAATTTGAGGTTAAAAGAATAATCTGAAACTGACGGAAAATGTTCTCGGTATTGCTTTAGTAATAGATTTCAAGCCATCCATGATCACCAAGTTATTTTACCTGTCATGTAAATAACAATCAATGTCACTAGTAATTCTCAAAAGTAAAAAATGATAATAATAATAATAATAAAAGAACAAATTTCTATTTCTGGAGCAGCATTGGTTGCTTCTCTAACTAATGCTTCGGGCAGTTCTATGTGCAGCTGTGGCAGTTGTACATTGGTCTACAAACTTCTAATTTTGCTAAGAAAAGAAAATTTCTATAAACATACATATAATCATTCTAAACTTCAATTTAGTAAAACAATGAAACAACTGCAATTTAGATCCACAGGACAACTTCATTTGCAAAAATAATTTCAACCAGATGGCCACTGTTATATTCCATCCACAGAAATTTATATTTGGCATCAATTATGAACTTAAATTCTTTCCAAGCTTCAGATGAGTCTCTGTATTTGCATCTTGCATTTACTGAACATGTTTTTATTTTCTTTGAACTTTATTTAACAGTTTAGCTTTAAAATAAACAAATTGTGACACAAAATCACCAAAACCTTCACTGTACTATGAAACTTGCATAAGCACTTAAACTTTTTTTTTTTCCTCTCTAATCTTAAAAATGATTCTTGCCATTTTCCAAGGTCTCAATGGTGAAACATGATCTGACAAATGGGTATCAGAACCAAGATGTCAAGGGTTGGAGTTGCAGGAGCATATCATCGTGAGGGAGGAATTGTTGGGTGCATAATGCTACTCCTTACGGTAGCTCTAAGAACAGATCTACAGGCCTGATGTCAAATCCTACAAAATACGTAAGTGAAACCCTCCCTAATACCAATTGTTTTCAGAAGAGATGGTGGAACACAATGCTACTCTAGTCAGTTCCATTTAAGAAAATAATTTATACGTGTTCACTGTCACTATTCTTTAGATGACTTAAAAACATTGCGTCTTGTAAATGTACATCTCGTTACTTTGTAGGTATGATTTGAAATTTGGGTTGACACCTCTACTCTGTATCTTCCTGAAAACATTTAAGGCTTCTTTGAATTTCCTTTGATCATAATCCTGGTATCATAGAATTCCAAGAGAAAAATTTGTATCGACATATTTCAAGGACATATCAACCAATAGATTCCCAACAAACACACAAAATTCACATTATGATCACGCATATACCCATGTATCCTCCTACCCAAACTTAAATCTCCCAAATTAGCAAATGCTGAAAGAACTATTACCATCATCATTTCTTGGGCTTCAAAATCTACTTCAAATGTCTCGAAAAATACCCGTCTACCTTCCTTCGAAAAACCATCTTAACATATCCCTGAATCAACGTCATCCATGAAACCAAATCTCTATGAGAACTTCCATCAAACGATTTTTGGACTGCTTCAATAACCCCACAAACAACATACATCCTCATCTCGTGGTCATTACATACAAATCCGATATCAACCCAACTTAACTACATGCACATGAACCTCTTGCCCTTATTTATCTAAATGCACTTGATTGTGCGCATGCCCTGAGAATAAGAGGGTTACGTGTGGCTACCCGGAACCATGCCTTTCGCAAGCAATTCATGATTAAAAAACAAAAAATATAATAATTTAGTTAACAAATCATTGTTCTTGAAACAAGAAATGCATTGTATGATCGCGTTGTAAATACTAATATTTGGGTTGGAAATTTGGGTAAAAATGGCATTGACATAGCTGGGGTCCATAGGAAACAGCACATATAGACAGTTGCAGACCCAGGAATCAAATTAAGCCCTATTCAAAAAGTTGGGAAAAGGCCATATTCAACAAAATATCTACCATCTTTGGTAACTAAGAGCTGTTAGAAATTTATTGAAGTAATAATGTTTCATATTATTGCACTCAATGCAAAATTAATGCCAAGAGTTAACCTTGTTGCTGGTTCCCTACAAGTCAAAAGAGGTCAAATAGATTAATTTTCAAGTACCAATGGAACCGCAAGGATGAAAAACTCAGGAGTTGAGACATACCATAGAGCAGTAGAGCCACAAAACAAAATTGATACAGAAATGAATTATGGTTGTTGTCGTTCACCTGCAAACATAATACTATCAAATTCACATGGTACATAAACAAGTACACCTACACAAATAGAATTTGAACATGGATGTGCAAGCACGCTTATTGAGGCAGTGCTTCCAGTTTTCCACCAACAATCTATTTACCTTTTCTTTCTACAAGGAAAATAAACGAACACATGGTGTGCAAAACAAATACACATGTATAGTTTCACTCTAACACAAGCTTTTTGTACACTTTCTCATATATGATATACATAGAAAACATATTCTTTGAAAATGTATATTGAAAATTTGGGGGGTGAGCCAGCTTGGTGAATTATCTGCTAAAAAAAATCAAGAGCAAAAAAAGAAGTCATTTTGGCCAAAGCTGTTCGTACAATGTAGAACACAAACAAAATCTACATTATCTGCTAATCACAAGTCAAATTCAATAAAATGCTAAAACATATCTTGGTGCATGGCACACAATGATTAGGAATTTTCATTTCTCAATCAGAATCATCAAAAAGTTTTATCAACATTGTTCATTCCAATAAGTTACTGCAATAACTAGTTTAGAATATCTTTCATGGCCAATCACATAGTCACACAAAGGGAGAGAGAGACTTCAGGATGATGAATAACTTATTCATTGGATGTATTTGGGGATTTGGTACTTTTATTTTAGCTTGTCCATGTTGATTGGGTGTGAAATCTCTAGGCCAATGACTGCTACACTTGACCAGTAGATATGATGATGTAGGGACTAGGCTAATTGGGTCTGAATTTGCCCCTAGTGTTTCCAGACCTGAACGAGTCCACGATAGAGATGACCGATTCTGACTCTCCTGAACCTCAACCACGAGCTCCTCCTCCTTCCCCTGTTTTCAACTTTCCAGCGATGTCAGTTGAACAAATCATGGCAGCACAGTCTGACATTGAAGCAAACTCGTATACGCTGAGGTCATGTGTGGAGACCGTGACTGCGGTCTTCAACTTGTCCCGTTGACTGCAGAACAGGACGTGTGAAGTACACCAGTTACATGCACAACTCTCTCTCCTTCAACGCATGTACAAAGACGCTCGGGTAGAAATTGGTGTGCTGAAAAAACAGAACAAAGAGTTGAAACGACTGACGACCTCCGTGACTCGATTCGGAGTTTCTTCGCACAACCAATTTGATGGTCGGCGAGGAATAATCTCCTTTGGAAGCTCTGCCAAGGCCAAGGCAGAGTCTTCAAAAGCTTCGAAGGAGGCGAGGCAGCTGATGGCAAAGTCAGGCAACGAAGCTGTGTGCAAATGAAGTCAGTTGTAATCTTCTCCGTCGAGCTGCTGCTGAAAAACTGAGAAAATGCTACTCTCTCTCTTTTTGGTTTTTTTTTTTTTGTTTTTTTTTTTGTTTTTTTTTTTTTTTTGAGTCTCTGTAATCGGGGATGTCCTCCCTGACTTCAATAAAATCAATTTCTTTTTTGCTCATCACTGGCATGACTGGCATATCACTTTGAACTTGAAAACATTTTTGTTTGATTGAATTTGAGAGTGATTGAATTTTGAACTCTGAATTGAACATTGATTCTATACTGACCTGAATCAAAGAATGACTTAACGAAAGAAGAACGAAACAAAACGATCCAAACACACTTATATATACTGACTAGTATAAATACACCGATTGGTATAAATATATTGACTGGTATGAAAAGAACACACTTATATACACTGACTAGTATGAATACCCTGATTGGTATGAATACACTTGACTGGTATGAATACACACTTATATACATTGACTGGTATGAATACCTTGACTGGTATGAATACACACTTATATACACTGAATAGTTGACTCGAGCGATGGGAAAGACAGAATCTCTAACTCGACTATGCCCCTAGTTCATTGCCCTGACCCTTGTTTTGTTTTGTTGTTGTTGTTTTTTTTTTTTTTTTTTTTTTTTTTTTTTTTTTTTTTTTTTTTTTTTTTTTGGTGGTGTAAAATGCTGATCGGGGTTGAGCCCCGATATGAATAAAACAAATGTGTTGTGCAAACCCGAATAGTAGGAAGGACATGCAGAAAAAATCAAGTGGTGAGAAGGTTTGTGTTTTTTTTTTTGTTTTTGTTTTTGTTTTTGTTTTTTTTTGTTTTTTTGTTTTTGGTGTGGGGATAAAATATATATAGTATTGGTGGAATTAGGAGTGCCTACGGTGAAAAAGAAAATAATAAAATATATGTATAATAAAAGAATATATAAGTGGAGGAGGGGACAAAAGTGGGCTAGTGGATGATTTACAGCTGTAAGCTTCTTAAAAGATGCAATAGATATTGGCACATATCCTTCAGCATCTTTGTTGATAAACCTCATTAGATGAGCTGTAGGGGCCAAATTTAGAGCACTAAAATAATACTCCACCTGAGTGAGAATCTGCTGAGTAGCTTCCTCAGATAGACGAGCAAGGATCCTCTAGAGTGATTTTTTCTTAAAGTTTCCTAGAGTGTTACATTGTGTGGTTGAGATTTACTGGCAAGTCACATCAATTTTTCTGATGTGACTTGTCAGTAAATCTCAACCACACAATATGGTACTCTAGGAAACTTTAGAGAAATTTCACTCTAGAGGATCATTGGTGCAGATAGACCATTGTTTGGTTTTGGTTTTGTTTATGTTAATGGAGGCGCATGATCGGGCTCAACAGGACCTGAGTGCTGAGCTTGCACAGAAGCCTCCCGATGATCAACAAACCCAACTCCATAGGACGGAGGACGATGCGGATGGTGAGGACGGAGGACGATACTGAACCGGAACATGATGAGGTCATCAATGTTCCTCTTCTCAAAAAGCTTGGCAAAGAGGCCTGGCCAGGACGATTCTATAGGCACGTTGGCAGCCTTAACCAGTGTCGCAATCTTCTCTGCGGTGACAGGGATGTCATCGTCGTGGAGGATGAGAGCAGCGTAGGAGCAAGCGAGATCGCTCAGAGCCATCGTTCGCGGAGGAGATAAGTCAAAACTAGCTTGCAAATTTGAATTAACGGGTAAAGGAGAACTGAAGCTGTGGAGAACTGAGCGATCCTGGGCTGGGACTGAGTCACAGCGGTGGCCCGAGGCGAAGAAGAAGAGGAGTTGCTGCGAGGGACGAACGCGGGTGCTGTGGCGTGGAGTCGACTGAAAGATGAGGAAACAAAGAAAGAAGAGTTTGTGGTATGTGTTTGTGGTATGTGTTGAAAAACTCCAGCGGGCAGCGAAGGCAAGGTGGCCGGCCGGCTGCCCGCCGGAAAGAGAGGAGTATAGGCCTAAATCTTATAGCTCTGATACCATGTAAAAATAAATTGATGTATTATTGATTGATATAATGTTATATTTATTACAATGATTCATGATTCCTATATATAGAAGAGGGTGAGTGTGTAGTAGGTAAGGAGTAGGTGAAGTGGAGGTGGTAGTGGTGTAGTGGGTTAGGTTTAGTGGAGTAGGTGAGGTGGTAGTGGTGTAGTGGGTTAGGTTTAGTGGAGTAGGTTTAAGTGGGTGAAGTAGGTGATAGGTTTTAACAAAAACATATTCTTTGAAAATGTATATTGAAAATTTGGGGGGTGGGCCAGCTTAGTGAATTATCTGCTAAAAAAAATCAAGAGCGAAAAAAGAAGTCATTTTGACCAAAGCTGTTGGGACAATGTATCTGCTAATCACAAGTCAACTTCAATAAAATGCTAAAACATATCTTGGTGCATGGCACACAAGGATTAGGAGTTTTCATTTCTCAAACAGAATCATCAAAAAGTTTTATCAACATTGTTCATTCCAATAAGTTACTGCAACATGCATATGAAAAACTACTTTACAACATCTTTCATGGCCAATCATAAGTTTATATTTTTGCTTTTTGCTTTTTGTTACTTATTTTTAAATTAATATTCGTACTAGATTAGGTTTTACGTTGTCAAACTTATTATTCCATATTAACTCAACTCAGTAAGTTTTTCATCCCAATTACTAGAAAAATCACCAGAATTGCCAAATGTTTTAACATTGGATCTCATTTACGAAATTGGGGTAAATAGTGCCCTGTTGAAATGTTTGGAATACCAGTAATTAATTGATCAAAGTAAATTCTAATGATATGCAACAATTTTCTTTACAACATTGTCTGCTAATTCAACAAAATTTTCTCTAAAGTAGCTATGCAACACATCAATTGCACTTTGGTATGCCTATCAGGACAAAACCAAACATTGACATCATTCTTTTGAATTGTTCATAAGTTTATATTTTTGCTTTTTGCTTTTTGTTACTTATTTTTATTTATTTATTTTTTTGCTCTCTTGGGCTGGGGGTATGAATTGCTTCAACTGCCCTCAGGAATAGTAAGGGCTAAACTCATATATTTCCTATTACATTCTGTATATCAGATTACACATATGGTCAAAATGCCCTGTTTTTCACAATTTTTTTTTTGGCAAGTCTCTCTCTCTCTCCTGATATTCTATGCATGAATTTTCCCTTGTGGAGGTTGAGAAATGCAGGATACATGGTTCTCAATAATCCCTAGTCACTTGAGATTTGATTAAATTACTGCTGTGGTCATTACTAGGCTCACCACAAAACTTCATTGGTCAAAAACACATTAAGAAAATGTTCACAGGAAATGAATAAAAAGTGAAAATAAACGCAAAATAACAAGGGGTAGGCCAGCTTGAACTAACACAAGATAACTAGTAACTATGTTAAAACATATCCAATTCATTCAGTCACCCTCAAGTTTTCAAATAATTTCAGTAGCAAATTAACACATACCATTGTATGAAGTGGAATAAGCAAATGAACAAACCCTTTTTTTTTTACCGCGGTTGGATAAAAATTATCTGCAACCAAAAGCATTTTTTAATATTTCAATATGGAGTTGAAAGGTTAAAAGGATTCACAAAAAATGGACAAAAAGGCTGAACCATTATGACGAGTTCTAAAGTGATTTTGTGGAGAAAAAATCAACATAAAGAGGAGTTCGAAATTATTTAGATTGTTCATTAACCTACCAACCATTTCTCTTTTCATCAGTTGACAATAGAAACTCCATATTCGATTCAAACTATGAAGCCCTTCTATTTAAGTTATACAACTAGCAAGCAAGCAAAGCACGCCGGATTTGTGTGCACAACACAATGGTTTTACCATATATATATATATGAATGTTTGTTCATTTGATAGCAATGATGGCAAGGTTGCAGCAAACAATTGGTTACTTAGAGGCTACTTCTCATCTTTTTTTGTTTTTTGAAACTATGTTTCATTAGAACTACAATTTTAGGCTGTCTTGAATTTAGTATGTAAAATGAAAGAATTTGACACCATCCATTCAAACAGAATAGCTTAAATTTAGATTTGATAGTTTAGATATGAATATCAAGATTGAATTTCAGAGCTCTATTTTTTTTTTTTTTTTTTGATAAATTGAATTTGAGAGCTTTGTCGTGATAGATTTAAAATAAAATGTAAAAGTAGTTATTTCAAACACTTAGTGCTAAGGGTTCTAGTTTTGGCTACGAGAATCCTATTAAATTACTTCTCCTATATCTCTAATTCATTTGGATGATAATGAAGAAAGTGATTTTGAGCTAAGCTAATGAAAAATACTAAATAATACTGAACAATACTAAAGAATACTGACCTTTCCCATTCAAATCTTGCAGCATGACCTCTTCCACTTTCATAATGTCTAAAAAAAAAAAATTAAATTGATAAAATTACAGTGATTAAGGAAAACTAGTTATTTCACATGATAAAAATAATAATATAAAAAAACCCCTCTACTTGAGAAGAGGTAATTGAGAGAGACGATGGTAAAGATTATTAATGCAATGCACTAAATGTCACTTGCATCGGTTGCCTGCTCCAAGATATCTCAAGATCATAGTGACCAAGGAGTAACAGAATTTCCATGTCTTACAATTAGTTTGAACAAAGGGAATTTTTTTAAAGGCAGGGTTGGATAACAAGGCAAGGAATCTATGTTTGTGAAAATCTCTCTCTCACTCTCTCTAATAAAGTAATGTCGTTTGTTCAAAACTGACCATATGGATAATACCTATACGTGTTAATTAATCTAGCAGATGTTTCATGTTTGTTGGTCTAAGCAATCTATTATTTGTTGTTCTCTCTCTCTCTCTCTCTCTCTCTCTCATTGATGTTTCATTTGATACAGTTGTCCAAAATTATTAAAATAATAAGTTTCCAAAGGTGTTGGAGTTGCATACTGATACGTTCTTCGACAGATGGGACTAGTTGGAAAAGTAGTTAATGATGTTCAAAAATTAGTTTTGTATGTAGGCATCCTACTTGATCGTTCATAGGAGGCAAGAGCTATAGTTGTGTGCTTCGCTCCTCTTCCTGTGTTTGTTATTGTCTTTGTTTAAACAAAAATTATGGAGCACGACAACAGCAAAAGAATTGTATGGACAGGATTACTTCATATTTTTTTTTTAGCATATCTAAATAGATTATTTTATTTTTTATTTTTTCAGAATCTAATAGAGATCACTAACTAAATTCCCACTTTTGTTTTGGCACGAAGGAGGCTGAGTTACTGTGTGTTGTACAAAGTATCCATGTTGGACACTTGACACCTAGATAAGGGTACGAGATATGTGTAATTAGACATTCACCGAGCTAACATATTTAGTAATTCAAGTTAACCAGAAAAGTATGCATAAATCTCCATATTATGCATGAAATACTGTCTATGACACTTTATAAACACAGTTTTATCCTAGAAAATAAAATAATTATATTAAAAAATATGAACACTTTGCTATGTCTCTGTATCCTTGGACACTTAAATACATACCCGCATTCAACACTTGTATTTGAGTCTATATAACATATCCCATTTCATATCAACCCGGAAAAAGTACTTCTAAAAGGTTGGCTGTCAAAACCCAAGCCATTAGTTTCATCTTAGACATTAGTTGCTACATGAAAAAAATAAATAAATAAATAAATAAATAAATTGGCAGAAACAATTTAAGTCAAGATTACAATAGAATTCCACAAAAATGTAATCCAATTAGGTAAACTTTAAGTTTTATGAAGAAATATGCAATCAACATAAAATCAATATAACATAATTCTTTCATAATAATGGGACTGAATTTACGATCTCAATTTCTCTTGCTTACCTCTCGCTGGACCGAACAAGTATTAGATGTCCATGGAGTCACAGTGCACAAATTTGAGGTTAAAAGAATAATCTGAAACTGATGGAAAATGTTCTCGGTATTGCTTTAGTAATAGATTTCAAGCCATCCATGATCACCAAGTTATTTTACCTGTCATGTAAATAACAATCAATGTCACTAGTAATTCTCAAAAGTGTAAAATAATAACAATAACAATAATAATAATAATAAAATAAATAAAAGAACAAATTTCTATTTCTGGAGCAGCATTGGTTGCTTCTCTAACTAATGCTTTGGGCAGTTCTATGTGCAGCTGTGGCAGTTGTACATGGTCTACAAACTTCTAATTTTGCTAAGAAAAGAAAATTTCTATAAACATACATATTATCTTTCTAAACTTCAATTTAGTAAAACAATGAAACAACTGCAATTTAGATCCACAGGACAACTTCATTTGCAAAAATAATTTCAACCAGATGGCTGCTGTTATATTCCATCCACAGAAATTTATATTTGGCATCAATTATGAACTTAAATTCTTTCCAAGCTTCAGATGAGTCTCTCGTATTTGCATCTTGCATTTACTGAACATGTTTTTATTTTCTTTGAACTTTATTTAACAGTTTTAGCTTTAAAATAAACAAATTGTGACACAAAATCACCAAAATCTTCACTGTACTATGAAACTTGCATAAGCACTTAAACTTTCCTTTTTTTTTTTCTCTCTCTAATCTTAAAAATGATTCTTACCATTTTCCAAGGTCTCAATGGTGAAACATGATCTGACAAATGGGTATCAGAACCAAGATGTCAAGGGTTGGAGTTGCAGGAGCATCATCGTGAGGGAGAAATTGTTGGGTGCATAATGCTACTCCTTGCGGTAGCTCTAAGAACAGATCTGCAGGCCTGATGTCAAATGCCACAAAATACGTAAGTGAAATCCTCCCTAATACCAATTGTTTTCAGAAGAGATGGTGGAACACAATGCTACTCTAGTCAGTTCCATTTAAGAAAATAATTTATGTGTCCACTGTCACTATTCTTTAGATGACTTAACATTTCATCTTGTAAATGTACATCTCGTTACTTTGTAGGTATGATTTGAAATTTGGGTTGACACCTCTACTCTGTATCTTCCTGAAAACATTTAAGGCTTCTTTGAATTTCCTTTTATCATAATCCTGGTATCATAGAATTCCAAAAGCAAAATTTGTGTCGACGTATTTCAAGGACAAATCAACCAACAGACTCCCAACGAACACACAAAATTCACATTATGATCACACACATACCCATGTATCCTCCTACCCAAACTTAAATCTCCCAAATTAGCAAACGCAGAAAGAACTATTACCATCATCATTTCTTGGGCTTCAAAATCTACTTCAAATGTCTCGAAAAATACCCGTCTACCTTCCTTCCAAAAACCATCTTAACATATCCCTGAATCAACATCATCCATGAAACCAAATCTCTATGAGTACTTCCATCAAACGATTTTTGGACTGCTTCAATAACCCCACAAACAACATACATCCTCATCTCGTGTTCATTACATACAAATCCGATACCAACCCAACTTAACTGCATGCACATGAACCTCTTGCCCTTATTTATCTAAATGCACTTGATTGTGCACATGCCCTGAGAATAAAAGGGTTACGTGTGGCTACCCAGAACCATGCCTTTCGCAAGCAATTCATGATTAAAAAACAAAAAATATAATAATTTAGTTAACAAATCGTTTTTCTTGAAACAAGAAATGCATTGTATGATCGCGTTGTAAATACTAATATTTGGGTTGGAAATTTGGGTAAAAATGGCATTGACATAGCTGGGGTCCATAGGAAACAGCACATATAGACAGTTGCAGACCCAGGAATCAAATTAAGCCCTATTCAAAAAGTTGGGAAAAGGCCTTATTCAGCAAAATATCTACCATCTTTGGTAACTAAGAGCTGTTAGAAATTTATTGAAGTAATAATGTTTTATATTATTGCACTCAATGCACAAATTAATGCCAAGAGTTAACCTTCTTGTTGGTTCCCTAAAAAACAAAAGAGGTCAAATAGATTAATTTTCAAGTACCAATGGAACTGCAAGGATGAAAAACTCAGGAGTTGAGACAAACCATAGAGCAGTAGAGCCACAAAATTGATACAGAAATGAATTATTGTTGTTGTCATTCACCTGCAAACATAATACTATCAAATTCACATGGTACATAAACAAGTACACCTACACAAATAGAATTTGAACATGGATGTGCAAGCACGCTTATTGAGGCAGTGCTTCCAGTTTTCCACCAACAATCTATTTACCTTTTCTTTCTACAAGGAAAATAAACGAACACATGGTGTGCAAAACAAATACACATGTATAGTTTCACTCTAACACAAGCTTTTTGTACACTTTCTCATATATGATATACATAGAAAACATATTCTTTGAAAATGTATATTGAAAATTTGGGGGTGGGCCAGCTTGGTGAATTATCCGCTAAAAAAAATCAAGAGCAAAAAAAGAAGTCATTTTGACCAAAGCTGTTGGGACAATGTATCTGTTAATCACAAGTCAACTTCAATAAAATGCTAAAACATATCTCGGTGCATGGCACACAAGGATTAGGAGTTTTCATTTCTCAAACAGAATCATCAAAAAGTTTTATCAACATTGTTCATTCCAATAAGTTACTGCAATATGCATATGAAAAACTACTTTACAACATCTTTCATGGCCAATCATATAGTCACACAAAGGAAGAGAGAGACTTCAGGATGATGAATAACTTATTCATTGGATGTATTTGGGGATTTGGCCTTTTCTTAAGAGGGAGAGGGAGTAGTCAGCAGCATCAATGAGATCTTCCATGTTGTGGAGGGATCGCTCCTCAGAAGCCAGCATGAAGATGGCACGAACCTCAGCTTTTTTGGCCAGTCTTGCTGCCAAGTTCAGCGGCAAATCAGGGGAGTTAAGCCTCCGCAATAGTTGGCGATAAAGAGAGAGAATCCGCTCACTATTCCTTGCCAAATCCACTGTGGTTGTCCATATCAAAAAATTTGCCATTTTGTTGCTGAAACAATTGACCATAGAAAGAAAGTTTGCATGATTGTTGTGCAATTCATTTTTAATCCACATAACATCTTCCAGAATCAATTAGAATTTGATGTCACAAACACTACAACAACCATTTAAGAAGCCACAGCAAATAGTTGAAGCGGGAAAATTCTAGGAAAGTTTTACTCTTACACATCAACTGACTGCAGTGAACAACTCAAGTCCAAATTACTTTGCCGATTGTCAAAGAGCAGACAATGTTATGGTTCCCCCTTATTGTAAGTCCAATAACTATCCTAAAGCCCCTAGAAAACAAAAGAGAGGATAACCAAAGGTACAAGTACAACCCACTCAAAAAAAGGTCGTGGATTGTATAAGAAACCAAAGGCACAAAGTGGTAAGCATCATAGAAGCACTTCTCTTGCTCTTTAATGCCAAATTGCATGGATTTTGACTCTTTAAAGTACCACCATGTCAGAGCCCACATCAGAGGTATAAAACAGAATCTCTTTTGCTAAACAATCACCAAAGTTCGGATTCCAAACACCAGAAGATACAAATCCCTAATTCAAAATACAACTACCATGACATTGATACAACAACACATCTCCCCTGCTAAACGCCCGTTCACACACCAGTATACGATTTCATAACTAAAAATACAACCGCCACAACAATATTATAAGTTGAACTGAATAAAATAGCATGGGCTCACATCAGAACCTTGGCATTTCTACATTATAAGTCTCAAAGTAAATTTTCTTGCTTTCTTAGCTAAAGGAAAACAGATTTTGAATCCAAGCAGGGGAGGGGCCCCGCCTCCCTCCGATTTTCGACAATTTATTATTAATTCTATGATCTCTAATTATTTTACATTTTAAATAATAGTATTAATTTTATTTGAGTTGATTTTATTAAAACAAGAGGTACATGTCACTTATTTTTTAGATTTTAGAAATCAAATGATATGTATACTTTTTTTTATGAGTAATGTTAGAGAACCTAAACATTCACCCTCAAATTGATTTACAATGACATGGCAGGGGTTAGGTTTTGGTTAATTGGTTTCTAAACAAATCAATTACCATGTAACATTTAATGCCATTAAGTGTAAATTTAAGCATTTTTCAGGGATCTTAAACATTTTTCACTTTTTATGTACTAGATTATATATAATCAATTGTGATTGTACACTGAGATCTAATTATTCAAAAATGTAAAAAAAAAAAACTATTTTTTAGATTTATTTAGTTTTCTCGTGAAATAATTCTATAATAATGCTTATATAAGAAATTATATTCAATGAGTAATATATCAAAACTAATTTAATATTTTTTATGCATATACATTGGCTCTCCCAAACATAATGTTAGAATAGGCAACAAGTTGGAATAGGAAATATATTATTGTATTTTCCTCTTATTTAGGGATTGTTTGGGGTGTCCTAAATAAGTGCACTTTTTGACTTTTTATGAAATATGAGTTGGGTATGGGTTGGGTTTGAAATTATGTGATAGAGAGGTGATGTGACTTAAATAAGATGATGTGACTTAAATAAGATAGTGACTTTTTGAATTTTTTTGAGGATGCCAAACTTGGCCTTATTCTCGTGATTGGTGTAATGGGCTAGCTCATATATTATACCTTATGGCACTCCTATAATTACTCAGTATTATTAATATAAAAGGGAATGAAGTCTAACTCATTCTCTAACTCTTTCTCTTCTCTAAACCTACATAGAATCAGAGCCATGCCCTAGCCAACTCTCCTTCTCTGTTACCCATCACTACAAGTGATCTCCTATCTCCTATAGACCAAAGGACAACCCCAAACAGCTCTCCCAACCTCGTCTAACCCCAATAGACTCTACACAAGTCTCCCAATCCCTTTTCTCTCTTCGACAGCCATCACCCAGGCTTCTCTCTCCCTCAATAGGCCTCTCCAGCCACTACCGAGGGTTCCTAAGGGGCCGACAAGCCTTCTTGCTGGTCTGGTTGAAGTCGTCTGGCCCTCTAGGGTTGCCTGGGGTGGTTGCAGTCTCGCCTGGGGTGATAGCTGCCCTTCGAAGTCCTCTGGTGATGTAATACGAAGTCGTTTCTTACATAGTGGATTGGTGATGATTATACACAGTCTTTTAGTCTCCTGGTAATACAAAATAGTACCGAAGCAAACCCAACAAAAAAAAGAAACTCTGGTGATGCAAAAATAGTCCAGACACAAAGCCCCACTAGATTCTCCCTCTTTTATGCTTTTATAGTTACTGTTGTGCTTGTTACTCCACTCTCATCTTCTAAGTTTGTAATTGGCATCGTATTTGAGGAATAATTAGTAGAGTCTCCATACCGGATTTGACCAATGAATCTGCTACCTCTTAGCCATCTTAGGGCAAGAGTTCTGTTATCCCTTCCACTATGACTGATAACCTCCACACTGGCCTTAGAATCACCACCTCTCTATTCAATGGTCAGAATTACTTAACGTGGTCGTAGAGTCCGACTATTTTCTTGAAGAGCAAAGGGAAGATAAGATATGTTGATGGGCGGGTTTAGGCACCCAGTATCACCGACCCTCATTATGACTAGTGGGAGATCACCAATTCTCTATTTATAGGCTGGTTGATCCATTCTATGGTTCCGGAGATTGGAAAGGGCTACTTGTCTATGGACACTGCCCAAGATATTTGGGAGGCTGTAGCAACTACTTACTCCAGGAAAGGGAAGAAGTTTTACCGATACTACCATCACCAATGATCTTTCGCTTACTTTTGTCTCCAAAGGTTACGTGACCTCCTTCTTTGGATTTAAGGGTTGAGAACATTGTTCTATCGCCGATCATGTGCCTTGAGCATGCACTATCAAGGTACCATCGGTTGTTGCTAGATTTTGACCTAAAGCGCACCTGCAAAAATCAGATTTTTGTTGGGTTTTTGGTACCCATTCTTTCTTGGGTCAATAAAAGTTAGAAGTTGAAGTGTTTTTGGGAACCCACTTCTTTTTCATTCTAACAAATGAGTTTCTTTTAGTCGGACATGAAGGAGAGATATGACCTGTTCTTCCACAATAATGGCATGTGAGATGAGAATAGTTAGATGATGCATGAACAAATATCTTTTTGGAATTTTTTGCTTTTGACAAAGGTTTATATCCAATCCCCATCCTTCTAAATGTTTGATTTTGACTTTTGAGAATTTTATCTAAGGTATCTCTACCTTAAGTGAATTTTGAAAGAAATTTTTTTTAAATCTTCTGTGTTTTCATTTAAAATAATTTTCTCCTTTTTCAAAATTTCATTTTCCTATTGCAAATCATCTATTTTCTTTTCAAAAGTGGAAGATTCTTTTTCAGTTGAAATTTTTTTTTCCTTTTCCATTGACAAGACTTTATTTTCTAAAGTATTGATCTTAGAAGTCAATGATTCCTTTTCTTGTGATAAACTCAAAATCACTTTCTTTTGAGATCTACTTTTTAAACTCAAATTTTTAAATTCAGCAAGCAATTCATCAAAGGCAGTTTGTAATTCGTCAAAAGTAAATGATTCATCATTTACCTCATTTTCATCTTCAAGTGCCATCAAGCATAGATTTGCGGCTTCATTTTTGCAAATATCAGTCTTTGAGTCGCTGTCATCATTGTTTTCTCTCCATACTACGATCATGACTTTCTTCTTATCCTTTTTGAATTGTTTCTTAAGCTCTAGACATTCCAATTTGTAGTGTCCCGGCTTGTTGCATTCGTAGCACGTAACTTTAGATTTTTTTTTGATTTTCTCTTTTTTTTTAAATCCTTGTTAAAGTCTTTTCTGAAAAACTTCCTTACATGTTGTTTCTTCTTCACAAATTTTTTGAACCTTTTGGTAATGAAAGCCATTTCTTCATCTTCCTCTGAAGCATCTTCTTCTTCCTCTTGAGATTTTGAGGTAGACTTGAAAGCCATCTATTTCTTCTTATTCTTGTCTTCTTCTTCTTTTCTTTCTTGCATAATGATCTCATGAGTTAAAAGAGATCTCATTAACTCATCAAGACTTAATGTTGACAAGTCTCTTGCTTCTATCACTACAATAACTTTGTTCTCCCAGCTTTTTGGCAATGAACAGAGGACTATTCTAACAATTTCTGCATTTGTATAAGTCTTCCCAAGAGATTTAAGGCTGTTTATAATATCCGTAAAGCGAGTGAACATTTGGGATATGTTCTCATCAAGTTTCATCTTGAAGAGCTCATAGTTATGAACAAGCAAACTCACTCTAGACTCTTTGACTTGAGTGGTTCCCTCATGAATGACAATAAGTTTATCCCAAATTTCCTTCGCCATTGTACAAGTGCATATTCTGTTAAACTCGGCAGCATCAAGTGCACAATACAACATATTAATAGCTTTGGCATTGGTTTAAATGTCTTTATAATCAACACTAGTCCACTCACTCTCAAGTTTGGGAACTAACAGACCGTCTATGGTTTTGGTGGGGACTTTAGAACCATCATATATAATTTTCCAAACCTCTTAGTCAATAGATTGGATATGCATAATCATACGGGTTTTCCAATAGTTAAAATTTGTGCCATTGAAGAAGGGTGGTTGGTTTGAGGCTTGACCTTCAGGAAGAAAGGAGCTAGGGGTTGCCATAGACCTCTCTAAGACGGTTAAGTCACAATACTAGAGACAAGGCTTTGATACCAACTGTTATACAGGAAAGCAACCCAAGAAGGGGGTGAATTGGGTAATTAAAAATTTTGGCCAAAAAATAGATTTCAAAAGACTAAGTGATTAAATACAGCAGACAATCGATAAATACATAGAAAATAAAAGGAAAGGAAAAAAGAGCTCAACACAAGGATTTGTATTGGTTTGGCTCACCGGCCTACGTCTACTCCTTAAGAGACCTCCTTGAGAATTTCTTCACTAAGAATCAATTCATCACCAAGCTTCACCTAGCTTGTGGATTTTTACAAAGGACTTACTTCAATCTGTTGAGGACCTCTCAACTAAATGCCTCACTTTACAAGTGTTTCACTCAAAAAATAAGGAACAAAAGAAAGAAGTTCAACTGTCATTTTTTACAAATATTCTCTCTCAAAAGATGGGTATGAAAATGTAAGCTCAAAGGTAATTTAAGTCTCACTCAAATGTGAAAATGGAAGTACAAAGGAGTAAATTAAAAGCACTTGATTGCTCTTGATTGCTCTAGGTTTGTTGTGTTGAAGAAGTGTGTATTTTGAACAAGAAGAGCTTCTTCTTTATAGCATTAATGGCTTCTAGTTGTTATAGAGAGGAGATTTGAATCTTCTAGCCGTTGAAGCAAATCATGGAAGATATCTTCCAATTGTGTTTAGTCAGGGCATGGTGTATATAGATTGTAGACAGGTCTTGGGAAGAGAAGGATCATTAAATGCACAAGCTTTTCATTTAATGCTTTCTTTCATAGGTCAACTTCTTGGAGAGGATATGGTGCCAGGAGATCTGCTCAGAGATCAGAAAAGATGACATATTTTGCCCGTAAATCTAAAAAATTGGCTGAGAAAAAAGTTGTGTCAGTCCAGATTTGATTTGGCAGTTGGATTTTTGAAACCCAGGTTTTACAGGTGGCGATCCCTGCAAATTGGGTGTCGACCTTTTGCTCTTCTTCTCTTTTCTGAGTTTAGTTCTAGATGTTCCTGGTGTTAACTCTTATCATTCTTGCTGTCGACCCTTACTGCTAAATTGCATTCTGAAATTTAGTGTCGACCCTTGTTGTTCTTGGTGTCGACTCTTACTGGTAGATTGCATTCTAAAATTTAATGTCGACCCTTGCTGTTCTTGGTGTCGATCCTTGCTGCTGGATTTCATTCTGAAATTTAGTGTTGACCCTTGTTGTCTTGGTGTCGACCCTTTCTTCTGGAACACTTAGACATTTCGAGCTTTACTCTAGTGTCGACCCTTGCTATTTTGGTGTCAACCCTAGGACCTGTTTCAAGTATAACTAGAATTTTGCATCCGAGTGCTAATCTCATGTTTTGAAGGGCCAAAAATCATTAAAAAACAACACTCTAGAATCATATAACTTCTAGAACCTTGGAAACACAATTTGTATAGTATTATTTTGAAAACTTTAAATAATAAAATGAATTCAAAATATTTGTCAATAATCAAAATCAATAAGAATGTATATTTGAATAACCTTGGGGCTAACAATCTACAACGCACGTCATTGACATCGAGTAGTACAGAGGGCAGGAAGATCACCGATGCAACAATTATTGGGGCAATTGTCAATTCAAAATTATGTTGAGTGGCATCGATGTGATGATAAGGAGATGGTGACTAACTTGTTCTGGGCACACCCGGTTAATTTGGAGTTGTTATGTGCATTCCACATGTGTTGATTATAGATTGCACATACAAGACTAATAGGTATCGACTCCCTCTTTTAGAGATTATTGGGGTAACATCAACGGACTCGACATTTTCAGTTGCTTTTGCTTATCTTGGTTATGAACGGGAGGACAACAATATATGGGCTTTAGGCGTATTGCGTACTGTTATGGAGAATATTGCTTTTCCAAAAATCATTATTACAGATAGGGAGTTGGCTTTGATGAAAGCCATCTCAAAAGTTCTACCTATGGCCATTAATCTTTTATGTAGATGGCATAATAGCAAGAATGTTATGATGAAGTACAAGAAGGTTTTTGAGACGAAATATAAATGGAATAAGTTCATGTATAGTTGGAGTGCTTTGATAATGGTTAAAACCAAAACAGAATTCAATGAACAAATTTTCAATCTCAAGATCGAATTTAGTATGTATCCTGAAGCTATTAAGTACGTTACTACCAATTGGTTAGAGCCATACAAGGAAAAATTTGTTGCAGCTTAAGCAGACAACACTATTCATTTCGGAAATACTACTACAAACAGGTAAATTATGCTCATTACATTTATGAATTACTATAATTTTTTGAATTTTATATTAAATACCAAAATATACATTATTGTAGGGCGGAGAGTTCTCATGCTAAATTGAAGAGGCAACTTGGATCAAGTCAATGCAATTTCGAGACATCTTGGACCAAAATACACAGTTTGTTAGAGTTACAACATGTAGACATTAAAGCCTCATTTCAGCAAAGTTTGATTGTAGTCCAACACAACTACACACCTATTGAGTTCACTGAGTCACGTGGTTTTATTTCAATTTGTAGTTTGGACAAAATATTAATAGAGTCAAAGAGATCGAATAGTGTGGGAATAGATGTTGCTACATGTAGCTGCATTTTGCGACATACATATGGATTACCATGTACACATGAAATAGCTGACTATTTTCAACAAGGTCAACCGATTCCCCTCTCGTGCGTAAATCCTCATTGGAGGAAGTCAGATATGCTTCTAGTTTTAGAAAGTACTTTTGTGGAGTTGGATTCCAAAACAGAGACTGATTTTTTTATTGAGAAATTCCAAACAATTGACGAGATGCAACAAGTGATCCTTTTGAAGAAGTTGAGGGAATTAATTAGTCCAGACAGTACATTTTTGGTGGAACCCTGAACTCGAGACTGAAACTCGAGGTAGGGGTTGAGGTCACGGTCGTGGTCAATTCAAAATCAATATATCTACTAAACGTACTACAACAAAAAAAGATTTTTACGACGCGCAGAGCACGTCATATTATGACCAGTCATGAAAAGTCATTCACTTTCAACGACATGCTTTGTACGTCATTAAAAACTATTTAACGACAGATTTTGTGCGCCATTGTTACTTTTTCTACGACATGCTATAGTACGCCGTTAAAAACTATTTAACGACAGATTTTGTACATCGTTATTACTTTTTTTACAACTACTTTTGCACGCCGTTAATTGGTGAGAAATAATGACGCTGATTGCTTGTCATAAAATATGTAATACAACGACTTATTATGCCTATCGTAGAATATGCAAATTTTTTTTTATAAAAAAAATAAAAAATAAAATTTAGCAAATTCTATTTAACCAATTTTGTACAATCTAACAAATATTACAAACAAGCATTACAAAACATTAATCAACCACCAAAATATTATTTCTAATATCAAAAAAACTAAACATAAATTTCAAACATCCAAAAACTGTCTGTGCATTCCAAACCATCCAAAAACTATATTTCTCAACATCAAAAATTATCCTCAACTTCAAAACCGTCCAAAAAGAATATCATTAAAAGGGCATACAAAAGTATGATCAAAATATCTGTAAATTTTTACTTGCCAAATTCAAAGAATACAGTACATTTATTTTACAATGAAGCACCCGAGAGGTGGTCACAGGCCCAAGTTGCATGAACTTAGATTGATAGACCACCCATTATCCAAGCATTTAAGCTTTTACCAAGGACATCTCTTAGTGTCAAGGTTTTTGTCCTCTTGGGAGCTTGACCACCAACTTCACCAGATAAGACCTAACCATGCCACAGTAAACAGGGGTACAGTGCAGGGATGCATTTTCCTTAAAAAATATGAGCATGTTGAAAACTGAAGTTACCCACAAAATCTTGGCCTTCGGATTTGATTCCCTTTTCCAGAAAACTGCACAAATTGAATGGTCAAGTACCTGTTTATTTATTTATTTATTTATTTTTGGGGGGGGGGGGACAACAATAAAAAATAATAAAATAATAAACAAATCAAGTACTATTTGAGACCTAATGCTTCGTGTTTCAAGCCAACAATCAAGAAAAGTTTAGCCAATTTTTACCTTGGCAAGCTAGTGATACGTGAATCTTTAATGTAAATCGCACTATGGCCCAAAGAAGGAGAAGCCTTACATCAGTTCAGCAATAACACTTACATGCTTAAGCCCCTCATGTAAATGGTTCACTTCATGTGATATGTGGCACTTCAGTGCATACACCCGATTCCATCTCTGAGCTTTCTTCACCACTTTCTTCACAATGCACCCTAAACTCACATCACCACCAAGAAATAAATATACAATAGAAACACTTCTCTGCCACGATTTTCATAGCCATAAAAATAGAAACCCGAAAGATTTGAAGTGCTACTGTTGTACCTAAAAGCACAAAACAATAATGCACAGTCTAGTCAAACACCAGACAAGCAAATATCTAGATTGCAATACAAACCAATAAAACCATTCTATCTGCTCTCCAGGGAAGATGAAAAGGAGAAAATAGTTTAAGCTCTCGCTATTAGCATTTAGCAGAAGCCATATTCAATAGATTGTGAAGAACCCAGGATGTGCAACTATTGAATTATTAGTATATAGAAATATGGTGATCTGACCTATTGAAGTAAACAATACAATTATACAAGAAACATAAGCATGAGATGAGATAAATCTATTTAAACTAACAATATAGGAGCAAATTATACTTCATTTAGGATCCAACAAATTCCAACCCACCTAAAGACTAGTAATTCCCTATTTTCCTCATATTTTTCCCAGATTCTCAACGACCAAACAATGCATTCTAAGCTCTATAATACCTAACATATAAGTTTACATGTCTCTTCCTCCCATTGAAAAGAATAACTTGTCCAAAACTTTACTTTCTAAGTTAAAAAGAATTGCTTTGACCATGTTCTAATTTCTTAACGATCAAGAACAAGCTAAAGAACAACGAAAGATTAAGCAATAGTTATGGAAGCTAAGGCGGATTTCGTTTAGGATGGAGATAACTGGACTAATCTCAATCTGTCAAATATAATATTTTTTTTCTATGATCAGTTGAGCAATGTGTTCACACACTGAAATTAATTCAACTAGAGAGAAGCAAAATTGCAAGTAAAAGAATAAGAGCAAGTAACCTTTTTGTACAAGGTTAGAAGGTCTATGTCATCAAATGGAAAATATCCAGCCATCAAAACATAAAGGATGACTCCACATGATCAGACATCTATTGCAACACTATCATAATCCCGATGGCTTAAAACCTATGGCATTGGTTAAGTAGAAATTTGGATGGATCAAGGACCATGCTTCTTTGAAAAGAAGATTAGCTTTGAATAAATAAATAATGTAGGAGAAAAATGGTGAGTTTAACCAGAAGAATTGAAACATTAGCCAACTGAAAAGCTTGCGTCAAAGCACAATTATATCATAGAAACTTCACAACTATCAGCAAAGTTACAAAAAGGCTAAGGGATACAATTTCTATTCTAGATTATTTTCAAAAGAAAACAAGACATATATATAGCCATTGGGAATGCAAAAAAGAACATGAGAAAATGTATAACTCACATGGCATAGAAGTTTAGACACAAACAAAAAGAAAAAGAACTATCACTTGGGTACCAGAAAGTTAGTAGAAAATTAAGATCGCAAAAAGAAAAAGAACTCTGCAGTTTGAGCAATGTGAGTGTCCATTTGCCCCTTTGCTTGGCTCCTACAAGTATTAACCAATTTTTTTATAACGATCCCGGGTTTTCCCCTTTATGTACAATATTCTGGACTTGGGTTCCGTGATTGAGTATTGTAGTATATGTTTCATTTCCGTCCTTTAATTCTTTGTATATGAGTTTTAGGATATGTTGGGCAGGTTTGTAACAGGTTGGTTGTGATTAGAAACAAAAGGTTGCTGCCCAGTTTTTGGTGTCTTCGCTCGAGCGAGGCTTTTGTCGCTTGAACGAGCTCTGTGTTTTAGCTCCTTCGCTCGAGCCAAGGTTCCTTCGCTCGAGCGTGCGTCTAAGTCTAGTTTTGGACTTGAAGGTTGTGTTTCTTGGCTCGAGCGAGATTTCCTTCGCTCGAGCGAGCGAGGACTATGTTTTGGGTTTCTTCGCTCAAGCGAGCTTTTCTTCGCTCAAGCGTGCTTCTGGGTTACAGACCTGAAGCTTCGAATTGTTGGCTCGAGCGAGGCTTTCTGCACTCGAGCGAGGTTTCTTTGTGTCTGGTCGCTCGACGAGCCTCGAATATATCAGTTGGCAGCAGCGGGTTACACTTTACTTTTTCATCATCTTCTTTACTCAAACCCTAGCCCCGGCTGCTTCTCTCTCTACATTCATCTTCTCTTTACAAACCCATCTAGTTCTGGTGTCTCCTACCCTAGATCCTTTGTAAAAAGTGTGGAGCTTGGCGAGGCCTCCATTTTGATCCGAAAATCTTTGAGTTTGGAGCATCTTGAGTTTTCTCCATCTTCTCCATTTGGTCTCTTCATTTGAGGTAGGGATACCCTACTCTTTCTTATGAGTTTTGACATAAATTTTAGTCATTTTGATTAAATGGTGTTATTTGGTAATTTTGAAAAAATTAGGGTTTGATTTGAAGTTATAAAAAGGGGATTTTCAAATGTTAAGACCCATGTGTATATGAGACCTTGGAAAATGGAATTATTGTTGTTAAATTGATGAAATTGAACCTTAGGGTTGATAGTTGAGAAAGAAGGAAAAATACCCTAATTATGTTAAATAATTAATTTGAATAATTAATTTGGGGAATGTGAAATTGAGTTGAGAATCATGAAATTGGGGAATTGTGAGAGTAATTGGTGTAGTTGGATAATTTAATCACTCACCTATGAAAATGTTGATATTTTATCTGTTGATAAATTTATTATATGTTTAGAGGTAACTGCTTTGGGCTATCAGTGGAGGATAGTTTTGATTGTTGTAGACACTGTATTTTGATTAGGGAAAACTGAAACCAATCAAACGAGTTATGTCATTGAATATGACGGTTGGAATAATACATCGAATGTGTATTGATTGATCATTGCATATGATAAGTGTTTAAATACATTGTATATGTATATTGTTTGGGAAGAGATAGGGGAAGTACTCCATGGTTTGAGAGGAGATAAGGGATGGACTCTCAAACCTGTTTGGGAGAAGATAGGGGATGGACTCCATTGATAACTAAGTTGGCCGGAGTGTCCAGGGTAAAAGTTCCGAAATCTTGATTACATTTGCATAACGTAGATAATTGAAGTATGGAAATGTTTTAATATGAGTTGTACTCTCATGTGAATTGTGAAGTATGGAAGTGCTTTAATATGAGTTGTAATCTCACTGAATTGTTTGGCTAGATAATGAGCCATGTTTATGAATTTGAATTGGATTAGTAAAGGAAACTGGAATGAAATACAGGTGTATTTGTCATGTAACTTTGAAGTGTTGTAAGTTGATTTACAAGTGTTAACCATTTACCGAATGCTAATGTTTTAGTTATTGCTCATAATTGGTTTAGTATATCTCTACTCTGCATTGGCTCACCCTATATGAGACATCATTTTCAGGTTCAGGTGATATGCCACCTCCAAGGACGTAGCTTGGGAGGTTTTGGGAGTTGAAGACTCTTTTGGTTGTTTTTGTTATTTTGATATTACATGTAAATTCAAGCTAAAGGCTTAATGTGTTTTGAGTTAGTACCCTCTTTTTGTAACCAAGTGTTAGCTTGGAAAGTTGTAAGCTCGTAGGGCATTTACTTTTGTTGTCAACATGTAATACTTTTGTAATAAATACTTTGATAAATGGAAATATGCTTTATTCCCTTATGTCAATGCATATCAAGAATGTTAGGCTTATATGTAATATTTTGAGGGCGTTACATTTTTACTTTTACAAACTTTGTGAAATATCCTTATATCTAAGATGGGAAGCACCAAAGTAAAAAACAGTTAAATTTTATAGCAGTCCTTAAAGTGATAACAATCCTCAAATGCATCCTATTATTGAGCAACTCAATAATAAAGTAATAACAATCCTTACCTTAAACTGTAATTACTCCTAAACTTAAATAGAAGTCTAGTCTATGGACTATGTAGTTCTTTTCATAAAATTAGAAAAGAAAAAAAAAATTAGAAAAAGCTACCTGAGTTTCTCTATGAAAATTTTTCTTGCCCGTTGCAATTTCGCTTGGTTCCTACAAGTTTTAATTGAAAAATCTGGACCACTAAAAGATCTTCAACCTGGACCACAACCTGAGAAGAAGACAACATGCTGGTAATGGTGTTGCATTTGTTGTTGTTGTTGCTGACCATGTTTGGCCAAAGGAAAGTCCCCTGGGGTTTGCAGATCCTAAACCCACTCTTCAGCCTCTGTATCTTTACTGCTTTTTCCTCTGCTGCTGTCCTTTCTACTGCTGTGCTTGTTTGGCTCTGATTATCAGCTCCTTTTGTTCCCACTTCCTGTTGTTTGCCATTTTCTCTCACTTTCTTTCTCTTTTTCAGTACAACTCTGTCACCACCATTAATGCTGATGAGTCCGACTTTGTTTCTTCTTCTTCCACCTTGGACTTAAGCTTTTTTATCTCTTCCTGCGACCATTGTACATAAATGCCATGCTATATGCATATTAACATCTTCATCATGAGCCATGTCATGATGATTTTGATTCTATGTATGTTTGTATGCCAAAAATAATACGATGTGCAACTCTCTTATACCATACATCAACGGGCATAGCATAAATTATAAGTTTTTTAAACCATATCTTAATTTGTATAGGAATCTGCCCCATATATGAAACATACCAACCTGCAAATAATGGACTAAACTAATTATCATCATCACTCATCATTGAAGATTTAGAGGCTAAAAGATTGAGTTCCCAATTGGTAAAAGAGTCAGTTGTATTGCACACAAAAGAAAAACACATATTGCAGATTATCTGGAAGTCCAATCATCACCAATATCATAGCATATGTGTTTAACACTATCACTCAAAAAGCAGTTTTTTTATATTTCATTAGAAAGTTAAGACTACTCTTACAATTTTACTATAAGCAAAGAGTCCTTCCTTATGCTATCAAAAAAGATCTAAAAAATTGTTCAGAATTTAAATATGTGGCAAAGATTTAAATCTCATGTCATATGACCCACACCTCAAAAAGAATTTGATCTACATATTTTAAATTTAAAAAAATTAATGTATCAGCAACCTTACTGCAACTATTTAAGAAAGTGCACAACATGAAATAAATCATTCAGAACTTGCACTATCATATGAAGCATTTGAAACATAATCTAGTGGAATTGCAAAGATAATAATGTCAATTCTTAGATACCTCAATTCTGCTCATGTATTCTGAGATAACCATCAGTTGTTCCGTATACTTTTCCTATTAAAGCAAGAAACAACAGAAATTAATGAATGATTCATTCATATATATAAATTGCTTCAAAGATAAATGCATCTGAAATTCCTCTTGATTCATTGATTTCCTACCAATGTGATAAATGAACTATCAAGGTCAGATTTGAAAGGAACCAACAAAGAAGTATCAAGATCCAACTTCTGATTGGTCGCAGACAGATTTGAGACTACAATTGCTTGACATTCCCCATTCTGTTTCTTTGATAGCAACTCCAACATCTCTCTGTTCACACAATAAATAAGGTCAAAACTAGCAACAAAACCATTAATTTCTCGTTAGTGTAAATAAAACTTGTGGTAGCTCATTTACCTTCTTAGTTTTGCCAATTCTTTGGCCATCTGTTTCTTAGATACCATCTCCTCCATATCTCTGTTTATTCAACCATTGAGCAACAATGTAAAGAGAGCCAAATAGCAACTTTTTTCTTTCTCTAAGAGAAAGAACAAAAATTTAAGTTCTGGGTTTCTTATAAGAGTAATGCTAGAGACCCCAAATATTCTACCAAAAGTTTTACCAAATGTCTCACATGGGTGTGGGACCCACACAATGTGGGTCCCATGTGGGTCCCACACCCATGTGAGACATTTGGTAAAACTTTTGGTAGAATTTTTGGGACCTCTAGCATTTTTGTTCTTATAATACCTTTCTAATTTGGTGGTCTCCTTCTTCAATTGTTTCAGTTCACACAATCTTACATGGCAAACCACTAACTCTTATTCCAAGTTATATCATAATTAATCAAACTTTAAAGCTTCCAAAGTTGTTCCAGGCTTACATAAAAGTTGCTAAAAACTTAAGGACAGGACTCAGTTTAAGCCAGGTCTAATCATATCCAAACCTAAACCAAATATCAGCAATGAGAGCAGGTAAGGGAGGCTTACGCAATGGATGAACTAAGATTGATTCAATCAAATATAAGATCACAGCTTATCCAACTAGCACATAACGATTTATGAAGAAACTAAACAAAGCTTTAAAAACCCCTCCAAAAGGAAACAAATTTTAATAAGTACGATATAAACATTTAATCTGATCAGAACTTTACACCAAATAGAGCTGATAACATCCAATAAAACCAAAGGTTGACGCTGCTTGCACCAACTTTGGAGATTAAAGTGTTTCTTATGGACATGTTCGTCATTTTTCCAGCAGATCATGAACATTTATTTATTTCATTTTATTTGAACAGCTTGTAGATTATGAGCAGCGGAGCTCAACTCTCTTTCCAGTGACAAATTAAGTAAACATCAATGAATTTATCAAAAAAAGACTCACGAGAAAACATTCTGGATTTTATCAAGAGAGTTATTAGCCAAAGAAACATGGTCAAGAATAGATGACAAGGAAGCAAATTCAATGATTTGCAATCATTTAAAATTGCAAAAAACTGGAAATTCTAAGAGATCAAATTAGTGTTAGAAGAAACCAATAAAGCAATAGGAACATTAAAGTGTATCATATCTTTCCACATATAGGAAGATAATATGGATTGTTTTTACCATTAGTACAAAGGTGCAAAAATAAAAAAATAAAAAAACAAATAAAAAATATGGTGCAAGGAAAAATAGATTTATAACAACATAGATAAGACATGGAAATGAGTATTATAGTTAATAATTCCATTGCTACTTGACATGAAAGTTAGCATTCAGATATAATGTTTAACAAATATGACATTTCATGTATCAATTCAGATAAAAGAATCTATATGAAATACAGTAATGAACTCTTTCAGAGGTCCGTTAGATGGAAATCATGTAGTTAGTGGCTACTTCAATTACAACCCTTTACTTGTCATCTATATCTACAAATGGTAATGTGTGGAGGGTCAGCAAGATAAACAATTTTGAAGCATCTATTTCCTTCATATATATTAGATAGTCACACAGTACTCTAGGTAATCTGGATAACAACTACATAAAAATAATTTCCTATATTTAATGAAAAGAACAGCACAATTATAAAAATAACATAAAATCTCATCTAAAAGGAAAAGAGAATGCAAATGACACCAGCTGAAGATTTCACAAGCTATGATTACAATTAATGTGGGGCATTAAGTTCTATATACAATATTTCTTGACCATCGTTACTAGGTTATAGTCATAGATTAATCAGTACATGCATCTCAGATTCAAATGCATTAAGATGAAAAGAAAGAGCATAAAACAGATATGATGAACTCTTCCAAAATTCTTAATACATACTTCCATGACTTTTCAGCAACCCTTCAGACACTCGGTAACAGATTTGCTTCTTCTATAAGTTTTAATTCAAGGCTCTGTTTTAAAAAAGAGTAGGCATTATGTGTTAATCTTTTTTCACCATCATTATGTCAAGCTCTCAAGCTTCAAAAGCAACACAAATGATTACTTTTGGCAAAAAGTGCCTGATCAATTTAGATTAGTACTCAGAAGTATGCCACAACCTAACAGGTCAGTGGTGTAAACTATAATACTATACAACAGAAGTTCATATTAAAATTCAAGTTTCAAAAATCTTCAGGGTACGAGAAACTCCAACTCAAATGCTCTTGACCAACAATAGAGAAACCCGTACTGTCAGTATCAAATACATAGTTAAGAAATCTTACTTGTACATTACATCGAACATCTCATCAACCAATTTCTTCAAACTATCATCAAATGTATCAATTCGCTTATTCACAATCCTATATGTACAATTACTAATGATAAATTGCATTGCAGCTATAAAAAAAACATAAATTTTGTAAATATTTAGATTTCAACTGATTGGATTGAGTGTTAATCAGTGAATACAAGTTTAGAACACGCATTACAAAAACAGAAACAAAGAGGGGACGAATTGGAGTTGCGTACGTGAAGCTACTTCGTCTTCTTTGACAGAGAAGCCTCGTTTGGCCTGAGCATGGACCTCCATTAGAGGAGGTCTAAGGCGGTTGGGGGTGGATATGAGGCGGCAGAGATTAGAAGAAAGAAGAGTAGGGCGGCGGCTACACCAGTCTCCCTTTCGAACCCTCTCTCTTCTCCCCTCTCTTCTAGGTTATCGATTTACAGCTTTCCATCTTCTTTTTGGAGAGTCCGGATCCTCTCCTTGAGGAAGGTCCTTGAGTTCCTGCGGCAACGGCTAACTCAACGGCTCAGATGAGCCCTTGGTCATCCAACGGCTGATATTATAAAAAAATAAATAAAAAAAAAATTCAAAAATGTTGTGTTTTCGACTTCCCGCCCAAACAAAACAACAACACAGCTGAGATGAGGGATTCACTTTCACTCTCACACCACTCTCACTCTCACGCACGCAGCACTCGCCTCCGTCGAACCCATCCTCATCCTCACCGGCGGCGAACTCCACCGCTCCAGCCTCTACAGAGTACTCTTCTGTCGCCAAAGCTTTCGACTGAAGCTCTTTACAAATTACAGTCGACAGTAAGGTAAGAAATCGAATACGAGTTTTCATTAATTGGTGTGTTTTACCTCTTTATGATTTCTTTAACTTTTCTCTAAGGTTCTGCTATTTGGTTAACACACTGTAAATTACTGGTTGCTCATGAGACTGCCAGTTAATATAACACACTGTAATTTGTAAAGAGCTTAAAATTGATAGACCAGTTTATGTAAACTGCTATTTCTAAGGTTATGATAGACCAGTTTATAAAAATTACTGGAACCTTACATAAACTCGTATTGATAGACCATGAACCTTAAAATTGATAGACTGGTCTATCAATTTCAGAACATGAACCTTAAAATTGATAGGCCAATTTATGAAAATTACCGGAACCTTACATAAACTGCTATTTCTTTAACCTTAAAATTACTGATTTTTGACCCATGAGACTGCCAGTTAATAGAACACATTGTAAATTGGATAGAACAGGGTAATGTTATGGGCCTTTTGTAGACATGGCAGTCTCATGGGCCATGCAATTATTAACTGGTGTCTAGATATGTTATATTGAATCTCATAAATAATTTTTGACCCATGAGACTGCCAGTTATGAATAACTGAATTGCTTGTGTTATTAACTGCTATTTCTATCTATATTACAGTAATTTTCCTTATATGACATATGGTCCTATCTATAAACCAGATAAATTTCCTTAATTCCTTATAAATAATTCCTTATGAATAAACCAGATAAGCCAGTTATGAATAATTCAATTTCCTTAATTCGAGTAATTTTCCTTATATGACATATGGTCCTATCTATAAACCAGATAAATGTTATCTATAAACCAATTTCAATTCATTTTCATAGCACTACAACCTAAGCAACCCTGCAATCTTATTAAGAAGCTCAACTATCATTAACTTAAGATTTTATTTATATGGGTTTTCAGTTGCATTTTGATATCGATATGGAACCTGAGAATGACTGTGATTGGAAGCCAAAATTGGGAATGATATTTGATTCTGAACAATGTGCGTATGATTTTTATAATACATATGGAGGAAGAATGGGGTTTAGCATAAGAAGAGATTATTGTAAGAAGGACAAGTTCACTAATTAACTTATTCATAGAATTTTGGTTTGCAACAATGAGGGATTTCGAAAGGTTAACAAGCGAAACCCATTGTCAAAAAACTCTAGAGCTGAAACTAGGACTGGATGTGAGGCTCGACTTTATATTAAATTACATGAGGGTACTAGAAAATATGTTGTGACTGATTTCAAAGAAAAACACAACCATGATCTTGTATCACCCGAGTGTGCCCACATGTTGCCGTCACAAAGAAAGATATCCGCTACCCAAGCAATTCAGTTAGATTTAGCGGCACAATCTGGTCTTCGTTTGGGCCAGTCTTTTGAACTCATGGGTAGGGAAGCTGGTGGAAGGCAATGTCTTGGTTTTACGAAATTAAATTCTAAAAATTATTTGAGAACCAAAAGATAACAAAGTTTAGCATATGGGGAAGCAGGCAATGTGTTGCAATACTTTAAAGAAAAATCTTTGCAGAATCCTTCATTCTTTTATGCTGTTCAATTAGATAATGAGGAGCAAATAACCAATATGTTTTGGGCCGACGCACAAATGATCATGGATTATGCCCAATTTGGTGATGTTGTCACATTTGATACGACTTACAAGTTAAACAAAGAACATAGACCCTTCGCATCTTTTGTGGGATTCAACCATCACAGGGAAACAGTTATATTTGGTGCAGCATTGTTGTATGATGAGACCGCCGAATCGTTTGTATGGTTGTTTGAAAACTTTCTAGAGGCTATGTCAAGGAAGGCACCGAAAACTTTGTTCACCGATCAAGATGCTGCAATGGCTAAAGCCATACCCATCGTTATGCCTGACACAAGTCACCGATTGTGTACTTGGCATTTGATGCAAAATGCATTAAAACATGTTAACTGTTTGTTCCAAGATAAGGGGGTGAAGGGTGTACTAAATAAATTCTTCTTTCACATTGAAGATACAAATCAATGGAAATTAGAGTGGGCGGAAATGCTTGATAAATATGATGCGCATGAAAACCATTGGTTGAAATTGACTTTTGCGGTGAAAGAAAAATGGGGATGGCCTTATGTTAGATCAACATAGGCTGCGGGAATGAGTACCACACAACTTAGTAAATCTTTTAATGCTTTTTTGAAGGATTACATTCGTTCTGATTTCAACTTAAATGAATTCTTCATGCATTTCGAAAGGGTACTTTACGAGAAGCGATACAAGGAGTTAGAAGCAGGCTATGCTTTGTGCCAAAGGTTGCCAAAGGTGAAAGCAACAATAAGAATGTTAATTCAAATGGGTAACGTCTACACAAAAAAGATCTTTGAGGAATTCCAAAATGAGTATTTTCAATCCATTGAATCGGACATAGAAGCAATTGAATATGGCGAAGCTAGTACCATTTACACAGTTGTTGATGTTGGTAACAAACATGCAAGGAAAGTGAAGATAGAGAGGGATGGCTCTTTGGGTTGTAATTGTACAAAGTTTGAAAGGGAAGGAATCTTGTGTTCTCACTCATTGAAGGTCATTAGAGACATATTGAAGATGAAAGAGGTTCCTCCACAATACATTCTAAAGAGGTGAACCAAACAAGCAAGAGCCGAAACTGTGAAGGACATTAAGGAAAATGACATTGAGCATTCAAGTAGATGTGAAATTCCAACAAGCTTCGCGGTATAAGACATTGATGACTGCATTTAGAGTAGTAGCAAGTAGAGCTGCTGAAACTGAAGAACATATGATTTTTGTATTGCACACCTTGCTACATTAGGTGCAGATGTTTAAGGCAAGTTAAGTGCTCATTTTGGTGTTGGAAATGAAGTAAGTAATGATGATGATACCCAAAGCTTTGAAGTGGAATGCGAGATGTGATCATGTTGTGCAACCAAAGGATTGAAGAAAAAGGTGGCAACTAGTAAGGGCAAAAGGAGGTCAAAGGTGGATTCGAAGCGGCGTTGGTAACGAACTCCAAAAAAAAATCCCGTGCTAATAGCTTGGCTTCGTCACAATCTATTGCAAGTTCAACGGTTGTACCTTCTCCATTATCTGTTAGAGAGAATATATATGTTCGTGAACATGTTCCTCCGCTTCAACCTCTTCCTCCCCTTCATCCTCTTCCTCAATCTTTGCCCATGGGTGGTAATTACATTCCTCCGCCATTGATGTATCCCACATATCATGTAAGTCTTACTTTAACATTGTATTTTTTTTGTGGATATAATATGTGACTAAAACCATAACTGAAAGCATATATGACATTCTTGTAGGTGAACAATTTGCAAGAGATGTATGTGGTGCCAAATTATTTGCCAACTCAACCAACATTCCAATCACTACTACAAGGTTCAGTGGATATGACATTGGGTTTCGATATTCTCAAGAATCAACTACTCTAATGTGTAGTGAGGTTCGTCCTTGATGTATTTTTAGTTTATAGTGGCTGAAAATTCTGTGATATCATGTATTTATAGTTGCTTAAAAATTGTCTTTTTTTTTAGCTATGGACAACCATCAACAGAACCAAACTGATGCTGAAATTGGGCTGCAACGTGAAGACATGGCCTCTGAAATTGTGAAGCAAACTGTTGCTAGAAAGTGATGTTAAAGTACCAATGTGTCAATTTTTAAGGACCAATGTATTAATTTAGATGTTAAAGTTGTACTGGTTGATGTTTAGTTACAGTTGATTTTAATTTATATGTTAAACCCAAGTGAACTGATTCTTTTATTGTTAATATCCTTTTTTAATTTATGTGTTGGTTGGTTGATGTTCATGTTCATGTTCATGTTCTGTGTTGAACATGTTATTGAACTGGTTCTATGTTCATGTAATTAAAACTGGTTCTGTGTTGAACATGTTATTGAACATGTTCATTTAAAACTGGTTCATGTTATTTGATAAGTCATGCTATGTTGAACACTGCTTCTGAAACTGGTTCTGAAATTGATCTGATGTTAAAACTGGATCTGCAATGGATCTGAAATTGTGATGTTCTGAAATGGATCTGCATGTTCTGAAATTGATCTGCATGTTCTGAATTGGTTCTGATGTTCTGAAACTGGTATGCTTCAGATCTGCATTTTATTGACAGTAGCATCCTTTTCATCATCACAGTCCATAAAAGCATCCTTTAGATTGAGCTTTGGTTTTTTGTAGCAACAATGCTCAGCAACATCACAGTCCAATGCTTCAAGGAGGAGAAGGGTATCCTATCTGTCCACATAAATCATAATCTGCATGTGCAACAAGAACAGAATCTGCATGTGCAACATAACATTCCATAACATTCCATCATTCATCATCACAAAATCTGCTGGTTATCATATATTATAGTTACATAACATAACATCCATCATTCATTCCAAATTCCATCAGAATCTGCCGGTTCAACATACACTCCATAACATTCCATCATTCATCATCACAAGAATCTGCTGGTTACATGTATTATAGTTACATAACATAACATTCCATCATTCATTCCAACATTCCAAAATTCCATCATCATTCCATAACAGATAAGAAGTTTAATGTTCCCCAAAATTCATTCCATAACAGATAATAGATAACAAGTCGGAGTACAAAAATCAAAAGGATACAAACTCCATTAAGTTTCCCAAAAATACAAATAAAGTCAAAAAGTTACATCATAAAGTACAAAATGATACAAAACA